AGAAGATATGCCCTTGACGGAAGGCAACTAAGAGAAAAAAAAAAGGAATAGTTAACCTGTTCGCGGAAGATAAGAAGATAGAAGTCGAAAGTTGATTTACGTTGTAAGAAGACTATTTATTCTGTTTACCATCTCAAAAGATAGATAGGTTTGCTTGCAGAGTCACTTTTATGATGAAGGTGATAAGAAAATAAGAGTATGTGCACAAGAATGGCGCAGCATGTAGAAGAGAATAAGAAGCAAGGAAACATACAGATGAGTCATACGACAACAATCATTATGATGATGCACATCTTATGATACAAACCATTTTATGATATTTTTCAATAGAACTGGAATCGATCGTATCAATCAGTTAATTTATTGCTCACATAGATACATTAACTAGGTTATAGATAAAATTAAAAAAAGAAAAGTTTAGTCTATATATAACTAAAATTAATCAAAAACATGAAATAGAAATATGTATATATACATATATATATATTTTTTTTTTTATACATTTACATAATATGTCCATTGATATATTCATTCATTCAAGGCAATAATATTTTTGATATACGAGACAAGAAAAAAAAAAGAAGCGATCAAGTAAACGAAATGTATTTGTTTTGTTCTATTAAAGCAATCGAATAATTTACGCATGCTGATAGAACTTCAATGGAAATCAAGAATGAAAACTAATTTACCTGGTCATTTCTTCGTTTGTTTCTAGTACAAAACGATCACGATAATATTTATTTCCTATTTCGACGTCTTTTTTTTTTCTTGTGATCAAAAATATAATAGTAACATTAATAGAGAGGTAGCAACGCACTTTCGTTCTCACACAGAACAAATACAAAGCAGCCAACCCGGAACTTTCGAAACGTCGTTGCGTATGTTCCGGAATGACATTTTTTCTCTCCCACTTTTTTTCTCTTTTTTCATCGCACAGGGTTGCTTTCTTTTCGGTTTTTTTCGATTCTTTTTTAAAGATTTGTGACGATAGCTACATGACAAAAAAAACAATAATAATAACAACAACAACAACAATAAGAAGAAGAAGAAGAAAAAAAAAACTGAAAACGGTTACATCCCTGTAACTATTCCAATGCTGACATTTTTTCGTTATTTCCACTTGGATTATGTATTAAGCATATATGTGCACATATTCTTTTTTTCTGGTTTAAAAGAATAATCAAAAGATGCTTCTTTTCTTAAATCACTATCAATCTAATATCCATCTGGTTTTTTTCTCTTCTTTTTTGTATGCATGCAATTCGTTCGTATTTCTTTCATCAGTCCTCGTCATCAAGCATCCGTGTATGCACTCTTTAGCTATTGAAGACTCGTTCTTCTTTTTTTCGGTTGTTCTCTCCTTCTCTTTTTTTTTTTGTCTGTTGATTTCTTTGCAAAGCACATACACATACATACAAAATGCGAGCGGGAAGTATGAAGACTGAGTGCGTTTTCGTTTCCTTTCTTTCCGTGCGTTTTCGTTTTATATAAAAAAGAAAAGAGAATAAACCTTTTTTCGAGGACACAATCGAAGCATACAATGTAGGCGTTGATGAAAGGAAAACAATACTACACACTGTTATGCGGTATACATGGGAACAAAAAAACGAAATCCAGTTTGAGCATGCTGTGTAATTGATTGATGTATTTGTGTGTATGCCGGTAGAGAAAAAGAAAGAAAGCATAGTATTTCAAAAAGAAAAAAGAAGAGAAAAAGCTGAAAGCTCACCTTATTCTTTTTTTTTCTTATATATGTTGATCGTAAACAAAAATTCCCTCGACTTCGTTGTGTCAGATAAAGTCAGAACAAAAAGAAAGAGAAACGCGAATGAAAATGTTTTAATAGTCCACAATTGTTTTACTTCTTCAATAGTTCTTTTGACAATTCAATTTAGAACTCAAATACAACTCAATCGAAATTTTGTGTGTATATACAAGAGAATAAAAAACGAAATTTTATCAATGAAAATTTCGAATAAAAAAAGTAATTTAGTAGATATAAAAGTGAGACTAATGAGAGAGTAGGCATCTAGATCGGTGAATCATTTTGTAATTTTTTTTTTTATTGCATGTCTTTGTTTTATAAAAAGAACAGCAAGCAGTTACGGAGACATTACATGCGTAGAATATAAAATCAAACAGGTTACAAAAAAAAAAGACAGCAAGAATATTACTAAAAACAAACTATGGGTAATACTCAAGAAAAATATTCATTAACTACAAAAGATGTACAAGTATTAGTACAATTAAGTGGTAAAACTGAAAGTGAAATTCGTCAATGGTATGATGAATTTCATAAAGAAAGTAATGGTACAGATCGAATGAACAAACGACAATTTCAAATATATTATACAAAATTAAAAAAGAATCCAAAATTAGAACAAATTACAGATCATATTTTTCGAGCATTTGATAAAGATCATTCTGGTAAATATGTATTATTTTAAACTTGATATTATTTGATTCGTCAATTTATTTATCTTTTTAGGTACAGTTGACTTTAGTGAATTTCTTATTGCTTATATTGTAACAAGTACAGGAACAAATCGTCAAAAATTTGAATATGCATTTGAAGTATTTGATGTAAATGAAAATGATAAAGTTGAAAAAAAAGAAGCAGAAAAAATTCTTAATCTTATATGTCGAATTATTGGTTTACCTGAAGAAGATGCAAGGACGTATACAGAAACTGTTATGCTTACATTTGATACAAATCAAGATAAAGTTTTAAGCAAAGAAGAATTTATTGATGGATGTTTACATGATTCATCATTAGGAAGAATTGCTAATCCATTTGAATTGTATTAATAAACAAAACATACGCAATTTTTAATTCAAAAAAAAAACACTATAAATTTATTGTTGTAGCTCTTTAGGGGATAGTTATTTTATGACCTTTTATATTTACTAAAAAAGGAAAATATTCGTTTAATATTATAATCAAAGCTTTATTCTAATGGTATTGAAATAAATTTTCTCAATACTTATATTCTAAAAAGTAATGAACTTTCCATTATTTATATTTGTTGTTGTAAGTTACAGAACAGTTTTTTTAAATATTTTTACTAAGTTGATATCTCATTTTAAAATACGAAATTAATCTTTAATAAAAGATTCGATTTTTATTTGAATATTTTGTAATTCTTTAACTAACGAGAAGATCTATTGCCTCATTTATTTAAACAAATAGACGTAAAAATCTTCAATGACAATAATTTTATTGTTTCTTGTAACAGATAATGTTACAAAACTTTTATAACTTTCAAGTATTCGAGTTCGTGAGTTTTGAATTACAAAAATCAGCCTTCTTTGTCTAATATTTAGAATGTTCACTATTTTCGTACTTAAACAAATGACATCATCAGAATCAGTACAAAATATATTGATAGAACTTATAAGTATTCTAAAGATTTGTACAACGATTTATTTTTGTGTAAAATGTTCTTCTGATTCCCTTCAGGGTCGGATAAAAAAAATGATACAGTGGAATAAAATCGTTCTAGCCCTAGGAAAAAGCTTTTCAAATGTCGATAATGCGTATAAATCGTAAAAAACAAAAATGACTATACAATGAAAATAGTTGTTTAAGCGATTTTTTTATTTTTCTGTTTTTGCCTAACCCTGAGCAAAACAAGGAGAAAACTATAGACAAAAAATAAATGGTTTCAAAAAATTTTTGAAGACATACAAGTCTTTGCGGTTTTTCTTTCTAACTTCAAATATATTATCTATTTGAGTATGACAATAGTAAATACTTTTGAGAAGAATTTTAAAAAATTAAGATGGATTAGGACATTATTTTCAACAAGGACATGTGAAGGAGCTAAAAATAAAAGAAACACAAATTCTTGTTAGGAAATTGATTAGAATCTGGCGAAAATCAATAAATAAATGATGACAACAACATATGGCACAAATGTTTAATTTCTTTTTTTTTCTTTTAAGTTTTTTTGCCTATTTTCTATCATTCTTTTATAGCTTTAAGATGAACGTTTAATTCTTAGTCATTATTAGTGTATTTCTTTTACAGTGATCTTTTAATGAGGGTCTGCTTAATATAATAATCTTATGTTTTCCTCTTTTCATCATTGATTTCTGTATTCTTTCTTTTCCTTTTTGTAAGCTCTCGAGAACATCAGAAATAAAATACATGCATAATCGGAAAAAATCTAGTAAATACTATGGGGATTGGCTAGATTTTTGGTTAAAGTAGGCTGTTATTCCTATCCTAGTGAAATGACTTTTTTTCTCAAAAATACAACCCATAATCGTATTCTATTCATATTAATATGAGTGAATTCTAAATTTTCAAAAAGCATAAGTATTTCTAAATTTAGATTTTTTTTTCGTAATATTTATGCATCGTTCGAGTTACTAGTTCAAGTACTTCAAAATTGTATTAATTTGATTATAATATTTTAAAAATACATGACCCATATTCAATCTTAATCGATCATGAATAGTCTTTGTATAATATTCAATTCTAAAGCTTGACATTCTAACAGATCTTATCGAATATATTTCACTTCTATAATCAGAAGTTGAGAATTTTTTTCAATACCCATATTCTAAATAGTACTTCATATTATTGATTATTGTCATTCTATCAAACCATGTCTATGATCTAATAAGAGTCTATTATTCTATAGAACAAAATCATAATATTGATCGATTGACTTGAAAAACAAATGAAAAACAAAATCATATTTCAATTTATCTTTTCTTTGAACAAACTTCTTTAAAAACATTTCATAGCGGTATATATGTATAATGAAAACATTTTGTTTTTTTCAAGTTTATACATTAACAAAAAATGCTCCAAATAAATGAGCAATTATATGTTTAGAACAACTTTGAAATAGTTATAATACATGATGTACACACACACAAAAAAAAAAAAGAAAATTGAATACAAACGAAAAAACAGAATATGTTCTTGTATATTTATGAGGAAATCATGACTAGTGCTGAATTATAATAAATCTTCTATTTCTTTTTTTCTACCAAGCTATATCAACATTCGAAAAAATATATGTATCAGCTTGTTGCATTATCAAATCAAATCGTTCGAATAACTAAATAAAAATGAATTAAATTATTTAAATATAAATAAGATATATTACTTCTTGTAACCACGTTGTATCACCACATATTGCACTAATTAATTCTGTTGCATCAGCTGTTGGATTTAATGCTTGTAATTCAGCAACCTAAATAGAATAATTTAAATAAATCAAGATTACTTTTTTTTTAATATATACTTTTTGTTGTGCATGACAAAACATATGATAAACATGATGTTTAAGTTGATGAGCTGTTTGAGCTAAAATAGCAATATTTTCACAAACAAATATTTCCTAAAAGAAAAAAAAAACAGAATAAATATATTTTTCTTTTTATTTTAAAAAAAATTATTCTTCTTACTAATATTTGTAATGGTGTTTCACTTGCTTTTAATGTATCAACATCATATTGATTTCCATGAAAACGTAATGTATGTGAAACTGATTGTGATTTATCTTCTGTAACCTAAAATATAAGTAAAAATTATTTAGAGAAAAAAAAATAAAAGAAATTTACTTGACAATGTAATTGTCGTTGAGGTTGAGCTATAATATCGAGTAAAGGATATTTAGCAATTGCACACTATTTAAAAAAAAGTTGTATTTATTTATGAAAATTAAATTTTTAAATAAACTTACAGGAAATGTTTCTATTGTACGTCTTGATTGAATAACATAATTATAACGTTGTTCAAGAATTTCATCAATCAATCGAATATATGTTGCATATTCATCTAAAACTTTGAATTTCATGAAAAACAAAAAAAGAAAGAAATCTAACCTGTATTAGCTTTGATTCTTGGTAATACATCAGCATCATAAACATGATTAACAAGTACTTGAGCATAAACATCATGTTGAATACGTACTGAACTCATATGACCATGAATTCTATATAACAGTTAAATTAATGTTAATTAAGATAGAAAGGAAAATTTAGAAAAAAAAGTATCGCTTTACTTTTTTTTTTTTGCTTAATAATAACAGTTAGAATAAAGGAGAGAAAATATTTAATTAACTGAAAGGATTTTCTATCACGAGAATTACTTCTTTGAAGAATCAAGATCAATTGTCTGAGTTTTATCAAAAATATTTATCTAATAAAGAAAATACTTGTGAATAAAATAATATATCTACGTCAGAAAAATATATCATATCAGTGTCTAACAATATTTTCCCTCTTGCAGATTTATTAGTTTTTTTTTCTAATTCAATAATACTTCGCCTATTTATGGATTCGAGAACTCTGTTATTTTAGAAAACATCAATCGGAGGAATTTAATATTTGAGACAAATCTTATGCGATCATAAAGGATATGAATCCAAATGAGTGTGTAGTCTTGCCGAGATCGGAGTCATCTTATCCATATCTACCTATATGAATTAACCGTATTTTAAAGTCTTTTTGTAGAATGAAAATGATTCTTTGATGAAAGATTGTATTCAGAAATTGTTTCTCTATCAAATGAATTTATTTTAAAATATTTTCGATAGGATTCCGATAAATGGTTTTGATTCTTCTTATACGAAAATTATTTCAACTAATCAAATTTTATATTCGATTTGTTCTAACTATTATTATTAAAAAGAAAAAATATAGCGTTTCTAAATTTTTTTTTGTTTTTCTTTGATTTGAAAATTTTTATCCTACTTAAGTTTAATTGGATGTGATTCATTGATAATACGAACAACTTCTTGATTATTATGTAAACCTTTAAGTTCACATTTAAGTGGAATATAATCTTCATAAACATTCGTATAAAACATTCCCTGTGATAGTTAGATAAGAAAAAACAAAACAACAGCTTAGTTTCGATAAAACAAAATAATAACACATTTTCTTACTTCATCTGTTGCTTCCCATGCTATTTCAGAATCAGCAAGTACAGTATCATATTTAAGTAGAAGTGTTTTTGTATGTACTTTCCATATTGGAAAATGAAGTAAATTAAGAAAATGTCCTTTATATAATAAAAATTGACCAATTTCAAATGGAATTTCAGGTCCCATTTCTATGTTTAAAATGTGAAGAAAAATTATTTTTTATGTATAGAAAAAAGATAACAATAAACATTTTTCTTTTTTTTACCTCCTTCTGTAAATTGTTGTCCTTCAGTAGTTGTTGCAATTGATTGATCCATTGCTGTTGATGTTTCTTGTTGATGTTTATCCATAGATGTTGTCGATTGAGATTGTTGCTGAAGAGTAGTATTTGTTGATGATGAACTACAGAATTAAAATTTTTCTAACAAAACAATCACAAAATCATTTTACTTCGTATTATTCGATTGTATTGTTGTCAATGATGGTTGATGAATTTCATGTGGTTTATCTAAATGAAAGAATTTCTTTTTTAAAAGACAAAACAAAAAAGATTTCTTTTTTTTTGCGATCTGTACTCGAATTAGTTGATTGAGACATTGCTGCAAGTAAAAGTGCATCTGTTGTTTCCTATATAAAACAAAAAAAAAAATAAATCTACATATATGAAAACAAGATATACAGACTTTTTCATTTTGTATTCTATTTGAATCATTTGTAGGAAGTAATTCATTAGACATATAATTCATTGTATTTTGATTAGTTTGTTGTTGTTGTTGTCCTTGTACCATTTCATTTAATTTACTAAGTATGGCAGCTGCTGATACTGTTGCTGATTCAATAGTATCATTTCCACTAGGAGTTTGTGTAATTGTGAGTGTGCCAGCACTTAATTGATTAAGTATATCTTGAGGTAATGTAATTGTTGTCTAAAACATAACAGATTTGATCAAATCAGAAAATTATTTCAAGTAAACATGCTTTTTATTATAATTATATTTATAAACGAATAAAAGAGAATTGTCTAAAGATGGTAAAAAGCAATATCTAGTGAAATAAATGCAAAACAGACGATGAAAAACACACATTTTTGGTGTTTATAAAAATTGTGATTTATATATTCATTAAACTTTAACATTTACAGATTTTATTTGTATTTATCTTGATGTGGTTTTTCTCGTAATATACAAAGTACGGAAAACTTCATTTGAAAAGTCACAAAGATAATGATATCCTATATTCTCGGAATTCTGTCAAGATAGCCGAGGCTGCTTTTGTCCATATCTAATCTTATATTTCAGGCATTCAAATTTTCTCAAAATCTTCGGATTGTTCTTTCATAAATTCTCAGTTGTTAAGATCTGTAATTGACAAAAGGAGTTAAACAACTTATGATCACTAATCTTTTCGAAAATATATATAAATTCTACAAAACAAATAATTCTTACAGAATTATTTAGAATATTTGGAACAGTTTGAGCATTACGAAATAAATCAGTTAATGTATTGATATATTGTTGTTGTTGGTTACCATTTTGTTGTTGTTGTTGTTGTGAATTAGGTGTTAATGTTATTGATTGTGGTAGAAAATTAGTTGTTTGATTATTTGTTGGAATATTTTTTAATAATGGATTTATTTTAACACCTTTTGTATCATCATATAAAGGTCGTCCAATAACCATTATTTCTTCCATACGTGATTCATCATTAACTATATATGTTTGATAACCCATTGTACCAGTTTGTTGTCCAATTGAATTAAGTATAACACCAGCATTAACAGAACCAATATAAATATTATCTTTTGGTTTACGTATAATAGGTTCATTAGCTATAGTTTCTAATGATGGTGGTTTTTCTCCGGCAAGAAATTTTAAAAATACATTATGAAAAGAATTATCTTTTGGATCATAATGAATTTCAACTAAAATAAAAAAAGATAGATAATTTATTTCACTAAAAATTTTTACTTGGTTTTCGTTTTGGTGGTGGAGCTGTAACACGTTGTATTGATTCTTCAACATTTTGAATATGATATGAATTCGCATTAACCTAAAATATATTTACAAAAAATTCAAAAAAAATCATTTATTTTACTTTGCTTTGAAATGATTGTTTATGTGATATAATTGATGGATTTATTGTAGTTGATGCTATTGGTTTTGATGTTGGTTTTGGTTGTATTGGTACAGGTGTTGATATAACAGATGAAGTATGTGCTGTTTGAATTGTTGGCATTGATGCTATTTGTAAAATTTGTTGTTGTAAACCAGTAGATATTTGAGCCAATTGTTGTTGTTCTGTATAATGATTAAATAATGAACCTATAAAAAGAAAAAGTTGAAGAGTAACGATTTGTACTCTCAATCAGATATCAAACAAAAAAAAATGAATTGTAATTTCAAGAATTGAATTCAGTTCAAATGAGAAAATCTAGAGAAGTTTTCTTAAATGATTTTTCGATAGGAATAAAGCTGAACATTAAAACATGAAGTAAACAAACATTGATCTTCTACATATTATATCTATACATAATAGCAAATTCTCATCAGTAATCTTGATCTGAATTGTAAAAAGCCTACTTTAAATTAATAATTTAAAAAATAAATACAATTAATTAAATTTATATTGTGCATGAAAATAATTTAGTCAGTTCAAATCAGTTGAATAGTAGTGTGTATTAGATTTTATTCATAAGAAATTTCATATATCCGTTCTTATTTAAAATTATCATCATTTTTGAACTGACATATTTTTCAAATAACTTACCATCTTGTAAAAGTGCATTAATATCTTGATCTTTATCAATGATAATATCTGAAATAATAAAAAAAAAACAGAAAATTTTTTTCTCAACATAAATCTTAATAAAATTTACATTGATCTTGTCCTTGATCATCTGTAATAATTAATATTTGTTGATTTTCATTAATATGATTTTGTAATTGATTTATTAATTCAGCTTGATTTGTTGTATCTTGTATAATAACTAAATCATTATTTCCAACTGTAGTTGTTGGTAAAATATTTCCAGCTGTTTGTAGAATAGTTCCAGGTAATACTTGTGTAGTATTAACTGTTGTCAACGGAACAACATTTCCAAACATTATAAGAAATAACTTTCTTAAATATTAATCCAATTGTTTTCTTGTGCTTATTCTTTTCGTTTGACATACAAAGAACGAATCAAGCTTGTGATTCGAGAAATTATTTCACCAATTACATTATACAACAATATGTTAAACGAGGGCGCACTTTATACAACAGCTGTTATTTGTATATAATTTTATTGATTAATATCATGACTGACACGATATCGAATAATCAAAGAAGTTTGTGATATTTTGTTTTAGAAAAAAAAAACAAAAATAGAAAATTTCTCTGTTTTTTTTATTTTATAGTTCCGTTTTCTTTTTGGCGTTTTATTCAAGCTGAATTTACTCGTGATTATATGCTTGAATGTGAAGAACAAAAATATTTAGAAAAACGAGAAAGAATATATAATTTTCTTTTAATGTCATCAAGTCTTGAAAAGGTAAATTAAAATATTCAAATATTCAAAGCGAAAAATAAATTTAATTCTACTTAATTTTATTTAATATATATGAAAATTAAGTTTACTTATTTTTCGCAAAAAAATATATTATAATCCTCGAGGAACAACTGAAATAGATGAAGTGTACAACTATTTACAGCTACACTCGAAAAAGGATACAAAATTTGAGATGAAATTATATTTGTTTCGTCTTTTTATCTTATAATTTTCTTTTAGAAATAATCAATAATATAACTATTATTTTTTTTTGTTCTTATTCAGGTTGGTAATTTAAATCTATAGCGAACTGACCAATCATTTATTACTTTTTTTCATATTAAAAAATGAAATTAAATTTTAATTATTTTTATCTATTGTAGTTTATGCTTTATGGATTTTGTCAATGTTTGGATACATTTTTATATGTATGGACTTTTTTACCGATACGTATTACACTTGCTTTGATACAAGCATTTGGTACATTATGTCGAATACGAACTTCAAAACCGTAAATAGAAAAAACAATAAAAGTGATTATTTATTTGATTACTTTTATTTAGTAATCGTTTATTTGAACCAGCACAAATTATCGATATTGTCAAAGGACTTGTTGTTTTTGGTTGTGCTGCGCCTATGTGTTTTATGGATATTTCAGTAGTATATCATACAGTTCGTGCTCAAGCAGCTATTAAACTTTATATGTTTTTCAATATGCTCGAAGTATGTGTAAAAATTTGACTGAGACGAAAAACAAAAAACTTTCATTAATATATCAAATTTTAAAGGTATGTGATCGTTTATTATCTTCATTCGGTCAAGATACACTTGATGCTGTTTATTGGACAGCGACTGAACCACGTCGTAAACATAGTGCTGGAAAATTATTTCTATGGCTTATTATAGCTATTGTTTATTGTAGTAAGTAACATATTAATAAATGAAACTTAGAAATATTGACAATAATAGAAGATACTTTATGAATAATAAATAAGATCATTTTTGATGATAATTATTCACATATAGTATGTATAAAAAATTTTATAATGATGTAACAATAAAACATACTGTTGTCTAACAGCTATTTTTATTTCAGTCTATGACATTTACTTTTATAGTTTCAAGATCTTTTAGAGAGAACATGGGATCTATGACAACCGATAGCAATCCTGGAATATAAAATCGGCAAAACAAAATTGTCCTAGAAGTATGGAGAAATGACTCAGAAAGGTCCAGAAAATAATTAACAATCTACTAAATGATAAGGCAACTACTTCTCAATTTCTCGAGATCATGTAAATCATTCCAAGAAGACAGACAAAGAATTTTATATAAAAATGCATATGTGCATGAAGAAAAGCGCACATATCGAAAAAATAACAATTTGAGTACTGCATCGGAGTCCGAAACCTGACTCCGACTTCGATGGAATCAGAGTCGGAGTAAAAAATTGAACTAAACTCAGATTTTTCGATTTAGACTCTAAAGAAAGAAGTTGAACTGGTAAAGATTGTAAGAAATTATTTTTGGCAGTTAATATCTGAGTTATATTAGTACAAAAAAAATCAACGTATCTGATTTTGTTGTAGAAACAAGTTTTTTTCATGAATACATTATATAATAAACAAAAATATGCTATTGTTAGTTTTATAAATAAATTTTAAGCAGAATTAATGGCCCAAGAAAGATATTGACATTAATCACTACTATGTTGAAAAAATAAAGTATACTAATCAAGAATATATTCTTGACTAAATTATCGTCGACATTGAGAAGCAATTATTTGAGGTCGTTGTTCATTTTTTATGAATATTATTATTTGATGATTCTCTTAAAGTTTTCATATTCTTGTGAAATAGTATTATTTAGTTTATTTTTTCACAATCTAAATGTGTTCGTTTTTCTATAACAATGTTTTTTGCTTCTGAAAAAAAAAATGTTCAATGATTATATTCAAAGTTGGTATTCCATAAACCATTTTTGCAATGCTTGATAAGATTGAATATAAATGCTGTTAATGTCGTCAAAATAATAAAATATCAATATTATCAGAAAAATTCTAACTAAAATCAGCAGCCAAATAATCATCGATTTCTTGATATGAATTCGCTATCATTAAGTCCAAAAAAAAAATTTTCGGAATTTTTTCGGAATCGAGCCGAGTTTCAGAATCAAAAAAGTGTGACTCCATTGATCACTAATAACAATATAGAGTGTACAATATGTGATTAGTTAATGGAGGATATAACATATGAATAGCAGTGAGATAGACAAGATAGAACACACAAAACATGTTGATTGATGGAGAACATGTATCACTGGTAGTACAGAATGCTAGGTTCTTGTTAAAACCAATCGAAAACAACAAATGAATAATAACAACTAAAAGAAATAATAAACTTTAGTAGTTCAATTCAAAGTGGCTATTAACATGTTTTGATAAACGCATTGTAGGGTACACTCAGTGATTTATCTAGTGGGTAGGCGACGCCCACCCGAAATTTCGATTCGCCCACTCGGGAAACGAAACCTAGATAAAACACTGAGTATACTTGACTTTGTCAGAATAATGAATCAACTTTCTACTCCTGGGATAAATGTACCATTTGTAAAAGTAACCTATCTTCCTATAAAATGCTTTTTTTATTATCACAATTGAAACGGAAACCGTTAAATTATCAGGTTGTTGAGATTATAAATGCCATATATATTTCAGTCTTTGAAAAAAACCATATTATACATATATATATGAATGTTTCGTCTCATGAATGGAAAAATAAAGATTTCTTGACAATAGATTTGTTTAAAATAGTAGCATTAGACTGTATAGAAATATTTACTTATGTTTTACTTCTAGTAATTCATGCAATACTTGTTCTTCTTCAAGCCATTACATTAAATGTTGCTTTTAATTCACAAAATAAAATGTTGTTAATTATAATGTTAACAAATAATGTAAGTTTAATAATTTATATATATATATTGATCAATTAAATATTTATTTTACTTAATATTTATAGTTTATTGAATTAAAACATAGTGTATTTAAAAAATTTGATCGAAATAATTTATTTCAATTATCATGTAGTGATTGTCGTGAACGTTTTCATTATGTTATATTATTATTTGTTGTTTGTGTACGTAATCTTGATCAATTTAATTGGGATATGAGTCAATTTTGGCCATTAATTGATTTTATTGTTGTTGTTTTTGTTGTTGAATTTTTTGTTGATTGGGTTAAACATGGATTTATTTTAAAATTTAATGAACTTTCATCAGAAGTTTATCGAGAATATACATTAAGTTTAGCTCATGATATGGTTAAAACAAAACAAGATATTGTATGTTTAAATTTTTTTATTTAATTTTTTGTTTAATTATGATTTTAAAAATTTCATTTCTATTATTTTTTTTTTTCTTCAAGGCTCTATCCGATTATACAGATTTACTTAGTCGTCGATTAGGATTTATACCATTACCGTTTGCTTGTTTAGTTTTCGGTGTACTTTTTCAAACAATTAATGTTAAAACAACTCTAGCAGTATTTAATGTTTTATTAACATTTTTATGGTAAAATATTTCAGAATAGTTAATTATTTATTTTAAATAATATTTTCCTTTTTTTTTTTTGATAGTCTATTTGCAACAAAAATTGCTATTGGAACAATTTTATTGGGTATTTCTTGTGAATATGTAACTAATAATCGAAAAGATAGTCTAAATATAACAATTCCAATTAAAGAACAAATGACAAATACTACAAATGATGTACCAACAATTGAAATAACAACAACACTAACACAACCCATAGAAAAAACTCATACACGTAGTATGAGTCTCGTACATTTAAATCAATTACTTAATAAACAAACATTATCTGAATCAACAACATTACCATCAGTTGATGGTGGAGATGAATTAAATGAAACATCATTTCGTGATGCTGATGATAATTATCAATGTTTAATTAATGATCAAAATTGTCCACCAGTATCAACTTTTTCAAAAACATCAATATCTACTATTAATACTAATGATAATATAAATAATAATAATGCTTCAACAATATTAACAGATAAAGATGATGGTATTGTTTTTACAGCACAAACATCAACAACAAATAAAAAACAAGATTTAAATGATGTTGAAAGATATAAAATGTGTGGAAATTCAATTATTATTTGAAACTAATATATAATATATATGGAGTATTTATTGTTTTGTTATTCATTAAAGTAAAGAAAAACAAAAAACTTTTTTGTGAATTTTCTTATAATAGTATTGTGCACAGTGCGCAGATGCTAATGTTTGATTCTATGTTATAACGTTAATAAATTCAGTACAAAAAACACATCATCTTTTTTGCTTTTTTTTTGTCATCAATATCTCAAATAATTTATGAGTTTTTAGTATAACATACGAATATTTATATATTTCGAATTAGAAGTCTTAATAGATTGGATTGTGTCGAGAAAAGCCATTTCATAGGCTATTAACCTTTCACTAAAACCTGACGAGTTAGTTCGAGATGAAATTTTTCTGTTAAACATCCATAAACCAAGTCCGAAGATTTCG